CGCACAAATCATGAGAATACCGAGTATCGGAAGGTACCGTAATATGGGGCCTATACGAAGACGTTGATCTGCATACACACATTTTTGTCATAGGCTGTAGTACCCATTACGAACTTCTAATACGGAATTTAAAAAAATTGAAAAATTCCGGTAAATAATGTCGATAAAGTCATGAAAATACCGAAGCTAGGAAGGTACAGTAGTATAAGGTCTACGCGAAGACGAATCTTTTTTCCATAGGTTGTGGTCGCCATTAGGATCTCCCAATACGAAATTTGAAACGATTTTGGTGAATAATGTTCCTGAAATCATCAAAATACCGAATATCGGGAGCTACTGTTATATGGGAGCTATACGAAGACGTGGACCTGCATACAAAAATGTTTGTCATAGTCTGTAGGTCCCATTACGAACTTCAAATACGAAATTTGAAATAATTCCGGAAATAATGTCGCTGAAATCATGAAAATACTGAATATTGGGAGGTAACGTTATATGGGGACTATACGAAAACGTGGACCGACATGACCCATTTACGAACTTATCCTGCCTATGCTATGCAGGTATGCAAAATTTTAGCCTTCTATCTCAATTCGTTCGAAAGATAGCGTAATTACAACAGACAGACGGACATCGCTAGATCGTCTTAGAATTTTTCGCTGATCCAGAATATATATACTTTGTAGGGTCTATTATAAATGTTTCGAGGAGTTACAAGCGAAATGACAAAGTTAATATACCCTCCATAGAATGGTGGAGGGTATAAAAATGTCAAAAAAAAAAAAAAAAAACGTCTTGAGTGTGAATTAAAAATATAAAATAATTTTGACACCACTCAAGCAACAGTCACTACCAAATAATGGGGTTTGTAACCAATGTTACCAGACGAAAGTACTTGTATGGCATTTTTGTATGAGTATGGCATTGGAATGAGGTCCTTCCTAGTAAGTTAATTTGTAATTGCATGGAATTAGGTTCAATATGATTTAAATAATTTTCTAATTATATTGTAAAATAATTACGCATAAATACAAAATAATAAATACACATCGTCTGCCGCGAAGAAGGTCGGTCATTTACGTAAATAAGAGCGTGACTTTTTCCAAATAAAAATATATATCACGCAAAAATTGAGTAAAAAGCCAAAATCAATAAGCCATATTTGACGTATGCAACAACGGAAAGAAAAAACATCAATTTTTTTTTATTTTCAAATAAATTAGGTAAAGGCTACAAATCAACAAATGAAAATGGCCAAGACCAAGGTGGGAAAATAATTACCACCTAGCAACGGAAAGTCAAAATAATTTACAACAGGAATAAATAACAACAACAGGAAACGAAATGAAAGTGAATTTTAAATATTTTTGGAATATGACTAAAAGAACAAAAATAAAACGTCTTTTTTTGCAACCCAACAAATTAAGCAATAATTATAGCCTGTCGAAGGAAAACTGCCCAATAAAATAAGTCAAAACAAAATGGAATAAAATTTGGTCAAAACATAAAGTCAATACATTTTTATGGCATTTAATTTGGGTGGGGAATATAAACGGACACACAAAATGCCGGCAATTTTTTGTGGATTTGTATGATGTGTACCTGCAGCAAAAACGCTTCTCAACCTTAACAGAACCATTTAACCTTAACACTGTTGCAAATGATTTAGAGCTGCCTAAAAGTGAAAGTACAGCAGCTGTCGCTTCGAAAATTTGGCATATCCACCGCAACTGCATCAGACATTGCAACACAAGTCATAAGCTGGCCTTTTATGACACTGTCTGATGATTCTCTGGTGGTCGATCACAGCCCCCACATGAAACAAGCAGAAACTACAATTTGTCCCTTTAACCGTTTACCCTTTTTGTCTTGCCAAAAAAAACTGACTGGCAAGTTAATAACAAGCAATCACTTTGACATTCAGCTGTTTCAATAAAAGTTGACCATCAATTAAAAACACAGAGCGTTTGTATGCGTTTGTGTTTTTATTTCGTCCACCCGAGTCACAGATATCAATTGTGGTTTGCTTGCAACCAAAAAAAAAAAAAATTAAAAAAATAAGTTTGAAGACCACATCACTTCCTTCCCAAAAAAAAAAAAAACAAAAACAAATAGGTAAGTATGACACAACCGAGTTCTGTTGCCGTTCCATTCCCACATCCCAACTGCCTGACCGTGTAAACGTTTTCTCAAGAAAGCCATCAAAAATGATTTTTGTTTTTGTAAAAAGAAGGGGGCTTTGCAATCAAAATGAAATTAACTAAATTTTTTAGCAGTTTATAAATCATTTGATTTCCCCAAGGTGTACTACAACAAGTTCCAATAAATCACCGGTGATCAGTTGTTAATATTTGTTTATGGCTTTTGATTTCTTAAATTTACTGAATTTCAAAAGTATGGAAGGCGAGGTGGAAAAGGTTGTGCATAAAACGGTCTTAGTCTGAATGAATACCAATTTTTTATACCCTCCACCATACTATGGAGGGTATATTAACTTTGTCATTCCATTTGTAACTCCTCGAAATACTCATGTCAGACCCAACAAAGTATATATATTCTTGATCAGATTTAGCGATGTCCGTCTGTCTGTTGTAATCACGCTAACTTTCGAATGAATTGAGATAGATGTCTAAAATTTTGCACACATGTTTATTTTTCCAGTAGGCAGGTTAAGTTCGTAAATGGGCCATGTAGGTCCACGTTTTCATATAGGCCCAATATAACGGTACCTCCCTATATTCGGTATTTTGATGATTTTAGCGACATTATTCACGGGAATTGTTTCAAATTTGGTATTTGAAGTTCAAAATGGATACTACACCCAAAGACAGAAAATTGTCTGTGCAGGTCCACGTCTTCATATAGCCCCCATATAACTGTACCTCCCTACATTCGGTATTTTGATGATTTTAGCGACATTATTCACCGCAATTGTTTCAAAATTGGTATTTGAAGTTCGTTATGGGAACTACAGTCTGTGACAGAAAATTGTCTGTGCGGGTCCAGGTCTTCGTATAGGCCCCATATATCAGTACCTCCCTATATTCGGTATTTTGACGATTTTAGGTACAATACCCACCGAAATTGTTTGAGATGTGGTATTTAAAGTTAGTAATGGATGCTACAGCCTGCGACAGAAAATTGTCTATGCTGGTCCAGGTCTTCGCACAGCTCCAATTTAACGGCACCTCCTTATATACGATATTTTGATGATTTTAGCTACATTATTCACCGTTTATTTCAAGTTTCGAATTTAAATATGGTAATGGCTTATGACAAACAATGCCTATGTATGTCCACGTCGTATAGACCCCAATATAACGGCTATATTCGGTATTTTTAAAATTTTAACAGAATTTTTTAAGGATTTTATTTATTAAAAATTTCCAAATTCGTTGCAAATGGTGGAGGGTATTAAAAGTTCGGCCCGGCCGAACTTACTGCTTTTTAACGTGTTTTTTTTCCAAATTCAAAGGCAGTCCTTTGTAAAATACAAATCATTTTTTAAGTTTTTTTTTTCAGAAAAAAAAATTATTCGTGATGGAATTCAAGCGTGATAGTGTGATCTCTTTATATTTGGCTGAAAAACCACAAGTGGCTATCGTTAGAGCACTCCAGCATTTAAATGTGAATAAATCTTTTGTGTCTCCTACCAGAGACGACGGAAGAAAACAGCAAAATCAGCAGAAATGGTTCGAAAAGTAAAGAAGCGATCGAAACCCGCGTCGCAGTGGCCGAAAACTGGCTTGTGAACTGGGCATATCGCAATATTCCATTCGGCAAATATTGAAAAATGAGCTCGCGGTACAGCCATTAAAATTCCAAAAAGTGCAGAAACTTACACCGCAACAGAAAGAAAATAGACTCAAAAGAGCTAAAGATTGGCCGAATGTGGTGAACTGCCGAATTTGGTTTTCTCAGATGAGAAAACATTCGTTGTCCAGCGGTTTGTAAACAAACAAAATGATTGTGTTTACTTGCCAAAGTGGTCCGCTGAAAATGTGCACCTTCGGTTGGCCACCAGAACTCAAACGCCGGCCATGGTGATGGTGTGGGCCGTATTAATCGACATCAGAATAAATGCCGAACGTTATCGCGAAAATATTCTGAAGGGTGAGACCTTGGACATTCCAACAGGACTCAGCACCATTGCACTCAGAACGCGCCACACAAGAATGGTTATAAAATGAGGTTCCTCGCTTCATTTCCAGTGCACAATGGCCACCAAAATCACCGGATACCAATCCGATGGACTATTGTGTCTGGAGTATTTAGGAATGCAAGATTGGCAATAAAAAAAATACCAAAGTGTCGATCACCTCAAGCAAGCGCTTCGCCGCGTGGGCCAAAAATACCGTAGAGCAACATTCGGGCAGCGTGTGACGGTCTCACTGGCCGTTTGAAGGCCAAAATTCGCGGCAAAGGTGATCAATTCGAATAAATCTAAACTTATTCTAAAAATTGATGCTATTTCCGAAATTTTTTGCATACCATAAAATTAAAAAAAAAAATGTAAAAGTTATGGCGTTTGACTTTGTTGCAGTTTTTTTATCTCACCCTGTACTTAAACGTGGACCAATGCCATGCCATTTTCTATACCAATCAGTCTGTATAAAATATAAAAATTTAGACCAAATTTCAAAGCTCTAATGTGGACTCTAACGTGATTTCAACAGACAGAAAGACAGACATCACAAAATCGCCTTATAATTTTATTCTGATCAGGAATTTATGTCCATTTTGCGTCTCCGACGAATGGTGTTTAATATTCCCTTCATTGTTTGGTAGAGAATATAAAAATATTTTAAACATTTTTCTGTTCATAATTTAGGCTTTAAATTTCTCCCTTCAAGAAATAGTGCGGAAGTAATTGAATTGTTTTTTTTTTTTTTTTTTTTGAATTGTTCCAAAACAAGTTATCTGTGTAACATGGATTATTAATTCGCCCAATAATTTTTGTTAAAGGTCTTATAATATGTTAATTATATCCCACTACTCACCTTCATACATCTGAGCATATTGAGGAAAGCCAGCAGCTCTGAGCCATTTACATGCTTCAACGGCCTCGATTTCTGTAAAAAAATAATAAAAACAAAATCAATATTAATCGATTGCAGAAAACTCGTAAATAATTAATATGCAATTAAAAACAGTAATTAAGAACTAAACAAAAAATGTATTTGTGGTCTGGTTGAAAAAAGTCAATAATGCTTGGCAGGAAGTTTATTTTGAGGAAATTGGAGATTAACATCGTAAGTATCGATTTTTTTATGTAATTAAAGGTCGAAAGAATTTGCTGGATTTTTAGAGATTATAAAAGGTATATTAATATTAAAAATAAATAAAATATTAACATTTAATAAATAACTTTTTGGTTTCTAGTCCTCCATTTTGTGGTCTTAAAAAATGGTACCAAAGCAAAAACTTCCAAAAATTCAATTTAAACATTAATATTAAATTATTAATTACAAAATCATTATTAAACACCTATTTTTTATTTATAGAATTTATTATTAGATTTAATAAAATTAATTACAAATTAATCACTAACGTTATATTTTTACTTTATAACATTTTTAATTTTTTTATTCTCTTTTGAGACGAGCTTTCTAATTTTATATTACATTTTTAAAGTTGTAGACCACATATAAATATAAATTTAAACTAAATATAATATTTCCACAAAGACATGCTATAAATAAATCTAAGGCCCCTCCCTACCAAAAAACGATGAAATCCACTTCTTATTTATCTGTCATATTTTGTAGTGTGTTGCTCCATTCCCCCTCCCCCCCCCCCCCAAGTATCTCTTTGAAGTTCCTTAAATCTAAACCCAAGTCTATTGAAAGTTTCTTATCACATTTTCATTCGGTTTGACATCATTGATTCGCTCTATTGGCCATTATTCTATTATTTAATAAAATGTTAACGTTTTTTCTTTATTCCTTTCTGTTTTGTTGTGCTTCGTTGTATTTATCCTCTATTGCTTCGTCTAACCTCTAAAGGTTATATATTTTGTCTGTTCAACTATTTCCTTGGGAGCAGCAACAACAACAAATTGTGAAAAATGTTATTGGCATTTAATTTCCTCCCACTTACAATGGGCCAGAAAAGAGAAATGAGAGAGTGGTGGCGGTGGGGAGAGTTATGTTTGCTGTTAATGTTTTTTACAAGGAACACATGCATGAGATAGAGGAACTCAAAACATTTGGAAAAGGAACTAAAAGGCAATGAACTAAAAAATTGAGAATGATAATAATAGCCTCAAAACTCTTTTCCCTCATGAGATAAATAATGAGAGAAAATATTTTTTATTATTATTATTTATTTATTTTACATATATTGTGACTCAATTGACCACAGTTTTTAGATTTTAAACTAGTGCCACACAGCCACAGGGAACTTTCTATGTTACATTGAATACATCATACAACATACATTTACATATATTTATGATTTGATTTGAAATATCAATTTTGTTGGGATTTGAGGCAGATTGTAAGCGTATTATTTTGTTAGCGGTATGTAAACGCTTTACATATTTCCCAACGCTGATGGTTGTTGCAAAGCGGGTGACATTTTGCCACAAGGCGCAAATAAACATTTCAATTTAACTAGATTTGAATTCAATAAAGTTTTTTACACCATCGAAAGCGGGAGTTGAAGGAACTTGGAATAGAAAAATGCAACTTAAATTGAATCTAAATTTAAAAAATATATATCCTAAAAGACATAAAAATTCCAGTTTGGAATTAAGGTTAAAGGGGTTGAAATGTATGAAAGGCCCTCAACAGGTGGTCTCATATGCATATAATACCTTTTTTAGAGATTTCATTTTCATTCAGACTTCAGATAGAAAAGCTTTGAAAGCTCATCTTTTGAGAAAAGATCTTTTAAATTTATTTCATGAAAATATATTTTGAAGATTTTCCATGGGCAGATCACCTTAAAAACGGGGACGTATGTACGAACAGGGGTTTTCTGCCCAGACCTCCTCTGAAAAAGTTACTTTTCGGTTTTTTTTAACGAAATTCTTTTACGAAATTGTACTAATATTTTGAAGATCTTCCATTAGAATATCACCTTAAAACGGGGGCGTATGACTTATTTGGTCTTAAAGGCTTTTAAGTATTTTCTATGGGCCGAATATTTTTAAAAGAGCCTTTATGGATCGAAGACATTTGAACGGTCTTCCATGGACCTTTAAGATATTCTCTGAACCGAAGTCATTTAAATGGATACCAACGATCTTTCAATGAATGAAATATCTTTAAAGGCTTTCCTTCAAATCACATACTCTTGAAGATCTTCTAAAGACCCTAAAATCATGGCCTTTCATTGATCGACGGCCTTTAAATGTTTTCTAATTGCGGAATATCTTTAAAATAGTTCCATGGATCGAGGACGTTAAAAATGTCCTTTACAACGTCTTCTAAGGGCCGAAGATCTCTAAAAGATCTATAGACTTAAGACCTTAAAAAGGTAGGAAGAAAGAAGTTCGTAAGAACTTCTTGGACAAAATTACCTTTTAAAGATCTGCTAAAGGTCCAAGTCCTCAACTGAGGACCTTCGAAGTATCTCCTTTGAAAGGGCCTCTATGGACCTAAGACATTTGTAGACTATAAATTGACGACGTTCTCCATGAAACAAAGAACTTAAAAATAACTTCTAACAACCTCAAAAAATCCTTTTATGAATTGAGGACCATAAACAAGATATTTTGAGGTTTTCTATTTAGAAAAGAGATATTGATATCTTCTATACAGAAAACTCGCATAGGTCGTCAATGGATCGACAACCTTTTAAAATGTTTTCTATGTTACCAAAACCATAAGAAGGAGTACATCTTTGGACCATGGGCCTTCAAGATACCCTTCTGAGGAACCTTTAAAATTCTTCTAGGAATCGAAATCCTTAAAAAATGTGTTCTATTATATAGAAGGCATTTTGAAGCCTTCTCGAGAATAAATTTTAAGATCTTCCTTAGAGAGAAATCGCAAAGGTCATCTATGGGCTGACGACCTTTGAAATACCTTATATGAAAGGAAGAGCCTATTAAAGGGTCCACTAAGAAACTTAAAAAGTTCCTCTAAGAATTGGGAATCTTAAAAAATTATTCTTTGACGTCTTCTATACAAAAGAACCCTCTGAGCTAATGTATGACTAAAAGATATGTTAATGGTATCCTTAGAAAAATTTTCACAACTTTAACAGACAAAATGCTCCTCTTTAAGTCTTCTACAGAAAGAAACTGCTTAATAGGATTTCAAACTACTTTTTTCAGATCTTCTATGAATAAAGGATCATATTCAGGTCTACATTAGACAAAAGACGTTCTGCAGGCCCTCTAAAATTATTATAAATAGAGGACATATATGAAGGTAATTACATTCAAGGGTCTTATGGATCACAAACATTTTTCACGGTTTTTTCAAGGCAATAGACCTTCCACACGTCTTCTACAGCTAGGAACCCTTCCACAGGTTTTCCATAGATAGAACACCTTTTACATTTACATTTAATTTACTCATATTTTTTTGCAATTGATTAATTTTGTTGTAAACATGTATTAACACATGTACACGCACACACACACATAAACAAATGAGCTCGATATATGTCATTATTGAAACTCATCGAATCGGATGCCCTTTTTAAATACCCACCGTGGTACTTAAACCATTTCGTAGAAAGAGTAAGAGCGAGAGAGAAGCAACGAAAAAAGAGAGCACGAGAATAAGATATGGGAATGGGACGCGTGTCTATACATATTTATTTAGGCCTAATAGCACCTTAATACCATAAACTTCGTTCGGTGATTATCATCATCATCAGCATCCACCACTCTCTTCATTATCATCCTTAGATAAATAATGGTTAGGTAGGTGGTCATGGGCCACAGCCTATGTTGCTCACAATATATCTCCCTCCTCTCTCCCTCTCCCTCTGCTCGTTGGGCATAAACATTTAAATATAGCAACAAAATGCTGTAGTTATTTGGTTTGTTTACCACACAACTCATCTTCATAGACTTGGCCACTTTGCGTTCGCCTTGCCCACGGGAAGTTTTTTTTTTTTAAATTGTTTAGAACTATCCAGAGGGGAAAGGAAGATAAACAAACACATACGAACACTTGTTCCTTGGCCATTATGGCTTAAATCGATTTAATAGATTCACTCACCTATAAAACAAGATATATGGACAGCTTGTGTTCGTTGAATGAATGGTTGGTCAGTTGAAGGGTTACACGCCAATGGGGGGAGGAATGGGAAAAGGCCAGAATAATATGCTTGTGTGTGAGTGTATGAGTATTCTATGGCCTATTTTTGTGGCACGCGAATGATGTTCTTGATTTGCATGGAAGATTCACTTTCTTGCCCATATACCACAGCACTGCCACACTTTCATTTACAGTTGACCCCGTTAACAAGAAGCAGAAGAAAATAAGAAAAAATGGCAACAAAAAGAAATAGAACAACAAATTACACAACATCAACATCGTCTGAAACGAGAGGGGGTAACACGACCAATATCTAAGATGTTGTTGCCTGAGTTCAGCAGTAAAAGTTTTACATTGTTTGGTTTGATTTGTTCTGTTGGCTTTTTTCTTCTACTTCTTCTTCTTCTTCTTGCTTGCTTAAAACTTTATCCATAAACTGGGTGATTGAAATGTCCCCTTCCGGGAGAAATTAATTTTTAATTAAAAAGAAGAAAAAAACAACGCTCGATTGATGAAATGTAATTAGGCTTTCTAATAGGCTGGGGAGGAAAATTCCACGTGTATCTAACGCAAAAGTTGTTCGATGATGATGTTTACTTGAAAACTTAAAAATGCAAATATACAAATTTAGCAGATTAAACGCTTAAGGATGTTAAATCCACAGGAAAACACAATTGAATAATGCTGAATTTCCCTAAAAAAAATTTCCATGAAATTTATTGCAAATGATGCCATGTTTGTGTTTGTTTAATGTACTTAGTTGTGCTAATACTTAATTTCTGTTGCAAAATATAAAAATAAATATCGTGGCCTTTGACATATATCGCATCATATTAACTCCCAAGGAAATA